TTATAATATTAACTGATAAAGTATGGGATAGTAAGCCTGTTTATGTGTCTACTTTGCAGAACCTGGATGATGAGACCACCGGAGCCCTGAACGGCAGAGCCCCTCCAGTCAAATACGACAAAGAGCGCAAAGATCATGCAGCAGACGGTCACCATAGCAATGATTTGGATTCTTCTAATCACGAGGCGCCGGCTGCCAACATTTCTCGCGGCGAAAGCTTTGTTTCTCCTGCCATGTACGTGTAGCCTTGGCAACCGGAACACCGCGTCACAGGCATATGGGCAAATTCCAGGTCACGTTATTTAGCATGAAAAGTAAAGGCAAGCACACGTTTCCGCCATTTTTCTTGTAAACATTTACCAATGTTAACGTTTTAGTCCACACATGATGAATGTTTTCAGTTTATTTTTATTTACCTTTCTTATTTAGTGGGTGTTATGGGTTTAAATATTTTCTCACTTAATATAAATGGTTTTTTGTTTTGTTTTTTTAATCTGTCGTAATGGTACTTGAGACAACAAAGAATTCGGTCAGTTAAAGTAAAAACAGCTTTTTTTTAAATTAATTTTATTTTTTAACCTCTGCCAACTGGAGCCAACTGGAACATCTTGCCATTAGCTTTCAGAAAACCTAGAGCTACACTACAAAACATCATGACAGACACGCACATAGTAATCCATGATATTAGAAAACCAGAGAGCCAGTGAAATCACAATTTGCAATAATTAAAAAAGTTAATTGGATGGTCAAGAGCTTGTGTAATGCACGTGAACTGGACTACGCAGTGCCCTACTTCTGTGTAGTGTTAGCAAATTGTTTGATAAGCTACCAGACACAATATGCAACATCTTGTGCGATGACCACACGGTCAAAAAAATCCTTGTTGTATGTGAGGCTGCCAGTCCTGAGCTCTTCAGTTCACATCTGTGGAAAGAAAGTTCCCCTCTAAGTCAAGATGAAACACCAGGGAGCCGAGTACTACAGGGGGAGTAAAACAACCACATCTGAAGTCCTTTCAAAGCACTTCTCTTTTGCCGCTGCTTGAGTTTAGACGAGGCTGAATTCAACCCCAGGAAGTCCAAAGCCTGATCATCTGGCTCTCCAGGCAGCTTCATTAATCGCTCAAGACATTTGAAAACACATTTCAGTTATTTATCAAGTCCCAAAATAACTGTAAAAAAACCCCCAACTCATTCTTGCCCATATTACGGTCCAATAGAGAAACATTCCACTTTATTATGTTGTCAAAGAGCCTCATCTGTCCCTGCAACTGTCAGAGCGACGGGGCTGCTCGTTAGCGCTAACGAAGGGGAAGTAACATCGTTTTCAAGCTCTGTAACCTGGCAACATCACATCATTTAAAGTCCACGATTCATATTTGTTCTTGTTAATTGCAAGAGTCGGTAAGACTGTGGGCCAGGGAGTGAAGGAGACTAAAGAAAAGCACACACGCAGGAGTGCACACACACAAACAAAAAGCCTCCACCAATTTTTGCTTTCAGTCCTCTAACAAATCACACAGTTAGAGTTGAGGAAAACATCATAAGGAATGTATTACAAACTGTGTAAATGCTCGGCATATATTAGAAGGATACTGCCATTACAGCCATTTTAACAGATTAGAATGGTCACAAAATCCGATATATGCAGATCATTTCGCACATGTCGAAAATATGCAGTCTGCATTTGATCCAAGAGTCGACTTGAAAGGGGAAAAAACGCGAAAAAGAAGGCGAGCGACAACTTTGCCTTCGGGCTGAATCAAGAATTGGTCTTTACAGATGTCAGATGATGGTACCAAATCATGGACAGTGTAAATAGTATTGATAATATTGATGAATAATATATTGTTGGTGAAATGTGTACACATAAAAAATAAACAAGTGTAAGTGTCATCAGTGCCTCTGTACAGGGGATGGAAGTTTGTTAAATGTCAAACGAGCGACTAAAAAAAAAGACAAAACAAAGTGTATATTACTATTTTGCTTTTCACGGGTGCATCAAGGTTGTCACTTAATACTAAAATGTTTTTGAGTATATAAAAAAATGATGTGGATTTTACTCCGTGTTCATATTACTCTGCATGGCATGATTGGTGGCTTGTTGAAACATTTTCCCAAGGCTGTTTGCGGAATAATCTTCATTTGTAAAAGCATTTCTGAATGTCAGAAAAGAAAGCTGTTTTTCATTTCTGTCTCAATGCATCTGTCATACTCATGCACACCACGAGTCCAATTTAAGTTGAGAGAGCGGGTTTGTTTTTATTTTTTTCCCTTTTTTTCTGTCTCACGACGGCTC